TATTAAACAATTTGACGAACATTGTATATTCTTTATTTTTTTCTTTATAGGTGAACAATGACGAACAAGATAAATATGAAGATGAATATGATGAACACTTACGTTTATAGATTTTAATTTAAACAGTGTTTTAAATTTGGATAAAACATGTTCATAATATTGACGTAAACTTTAAAACTATTAGAGAAAAGAATGATCGACGCCATTAATAAAGATGAATATGAAAAATATTTTTTACATCAATTATTATAAACAATCGATATAGAAAGTCTTATACTTTTTATATTAAATGCGAAATCAACGTAAAAAATATTTTTTTTAACCGATATAAAAAGTCTTTTCTTTTGTTAGTAGAAGTTATGAATTTGAAATGAATCTATTTAATTGAAATTAAAAAAAAATATTTGATCTAATAATTAAAAATTTTCAGACTTAGTTTAGATCAAATTAAGAATAATATTGAATTTGAATTAGTTTAACTTGATCTTTGGTAATTTGAGTTAGTTATTTTAGTTTTTACATTATTTTTATATTTAAAAAAATACTTTACTTTTAGCTAATAAATAAAAAAAATGTTATTAAATATACTAATTCTTGCCGTGGTTCTTTTTTCCAATGAACATCACTTACTTATTAAATGAAATATAAAATGTACGATAAATGTATAAAAAAATGTTTAAAAATCAAATATTTTCATAAAATTTAGTAAAAGAAACAATATATTTGAATAATCTTAAGTTTTCTAAATATGTAAATTTATAATATATTTATACCATTATAATAAGTTAGGTTCTTTTAATGATGAAATAATAATTAATATAAATTAATACTTTTACAGTTTAATTTTAAACATAAAAACTAAAACACCAAATTCAACTGATGTTTTTTTAGTGATTTAATAATTTAAACTAGTTTATATTAACCTTCATAGGCGTACTTTCATTATTTTTATTGTCTCTTTGTATATAATTTGTGAGTACTAATTTTTAAATTATAACAATTTAAAAAATATTTTAAAAAGTGATTTAAAACTAATTTTTTATTATTATGTTAAGTAACATTGTATATTTTTTTAATTTAATATTAATATTGGTACAAATGCTTAAAATTGATTATGAAAATGTAACCAGATCAACATTAAAACTATATTTAACCAGTTGAGAGATCGTGCACATGTTACCATGTGCTAAATCCGAAAATAAAAACTTTTTGATGAAAATAATCCTGACATTCCTTTTTGGAGCATCAAATGGGGTGTGAGATAGAAAAAAAAAGGTGAATAATAATAATAATAATAATAATAATAATAATAATAATAATAATAATAATAATATATGGTGTAAAAATATGAGTTAAAGCATATTTTTATCTGCACAAAAATTTGTCATTAACAATTTTTTAAAAATGTCATATTTTAATATATATTATTTTTTAATATTATGCATATAAAAAATGTAAAATATGTTAATATTTTATTTTTTTAGGGGAGAAAAAAATTATATATTAATGATAGAAATAAAAATAGGTTAAGCTAAACTTTAGATAAGTAAATTAACTTATTTAATAATTTTAAAGTTTAATTCTGATATATGTCATAATTTTTTTTATTAAGTATATCTTACTTTTTAAAATTTTAATTTAGTTTATTAATATTTTTAATAGTCTTTCATATTAAAATTTTTAATAAATCGTTAAATGTTTTAATAAATAGACCATTAAATTATCTAAATTTACATATTCTTTTTTATTATTTTCAAATCATATATTTAATAAATAGATAATTAAATATATAAAAAGTAACATTTTCAGACTTTAACAAAAAAATATAATTTTTAATTTAAGATTTTATTTATTTTAAAATTTAATTTATTTAATATAATATTATAATATAATTTTTATATAAATTATTTAATATATTATTATAAATTTTATGAACTTTAAATAGTTAATTTTATCAAGTATAATAAGTTTTTTCTTAAACTTAAATTTAATATAGTAATTAAAATTTTTTAAAAATTGAGTTAAGTCGATTAAATTAAGTTAAAATTAAAAAAAAATAATAATCCTTAACTACGTCGAAATAGGTTAACCTATTTTTATTCCACGAGAGAGTTTAGCTCACGTTGATAGTTACTACTTCAATTTTAATTTTATATTTTTTGTCTGTTTCCGCCAAGTCTTCAAAACTCATCATATGTTTCGAAGCATGTATATTTTGATGAAGCATCACAATTTCCTTTTATTATATTTCAGGGGATATCATACAAATAATTTCTGTGTTAACAATCACTTGCTTGCTTCCTCTCTGTTTTTTTTCCTTTTAACGTTTAAGTTTTTGTAAAAAAATTAAGAAAACAAATAGTATTTTAATTTTATATAAAATTATTGTTAATTATTTATTATATTTCTCATTTATTATAACATTTTGAAAAGGAAAAATATATTTATTCATTAATCTTATAAAATGACAGTATTTTTAAAATATCAAAGAGAAAATAGGGAATATTAAAAGAACTAAAATTATATATTAACTATTTAGATCCCTAAGCTTTAAAGCTCTCTTTTTTGTTAACTAGTTAGTACAATAATCTTGTCTCTTTTGGAAGCATTATTATCTTCTCTTCCTTTATTTTTAATTTAATTGCAACATGCTGATCTTCACGTGTCCTGCATTTAGATTTGTGCTGATATATGAAAGACAAATCTTTCACTCTTTCTCTTTAAAAAAGACATGAAGAGGGGTCACATGGCGATGGAGAAAGATCATGTGATGCAATATACATTCCCATGTTTACTCTGTATACTTGAACCAGAGAAAGGTGGTGATATTAATTTGGAATAGAATCTTCTGATTATTGAATATTTATTTGGACCCTTCCTATTGCATAGCAGTGATGCAGGTTTTAGAGGTTCCTATAGACTTTGACCAACAAACATAGTGCAACAAAATGAAGAGAGGTTGTTGAATGTGTATCATCATAAATAGAACTATATAATGCATATCACTTTCCACTTAATTTTCAAGATAAAAGTTAAATACCCCAAATAGAGAGAAAGAAAGATAATATAAAGTGATGAATGAGACCCCTCCAACAATGGAATCTAGAGCTAGAAAGGGGTGCATGATATTATTTTCTTTTTTCAGTTCATGTATGTAGGCAACTTTGAGAATTGAAATCTATACCTTATCTATCCTAATGACAGAAGGTTCACTTATAATTATGAACTATAAATGTACATTATTCCATCACTGAAGACTAGAAGGAGATAATTCTTTTATCATCTCTAGGTCACGGGCATGCTTCGAATTGTACAAAAATGAATAAAGGTAAGAATGTTCCATCCTTGTAAGTTGTAAATACTAATTAAATTAAGCATTTATGTTTATATAACCCCCACTATTTTGTGGCTACTTTTATGTGAACACAAGGCATTATTGAACATATAAAAGATTAAAAAAATGTTGATCCTCGCGATCAGAACCCCATAATGATGGATTGACTAAAAATCCCATTTATAGTTGTTCATTAACATAATGAATTTCTATGAATTAAGTGAACTTCTCACAATGATCGCTTGTGAATAAATGATATGTAGTCTTATTTGATGTGATTATATGATAAAATAGTATGTAGCCTTTGAAGATGAAGAAAATATGTAGAGGAGCTTAAATGATTATAATTCAGTATCAAGCAAACAAGGGCTAATTAACAAGTTAAATTTATGTTACAGTGGCCAAAAATCAAGAAATATAAGAATGTAGGCTTTATCTTGGTTCTATTTTCCAGGCAAAGACAGAGTAAAGAGGAGGGACCAACAAATTGAACAATATCTGACATTGATAATATAGTGGGCCAAGGCACATGCATAAAAGCTTAAACTTTCTCATTTCTATGGAGGAAATCACAACCTTCCAAGTTTCAGTTCCACATGAAAGATTAAAAAAATAAAAAAGATAGAAAACAAGTCGCTTGCAGGATAAAACAAATCTGAAACAGTGTCTTTCAATTTGATTATTAGTCTAGGAATTAGAGAGATCTATAAGCCTCTAATTACTCAATTGTGCAGTTACATTTATTTTAAAACTCAAATTGCTTAATAAATTTCCTTTCTTCAGGGATGTCATGATAGAAAAAGCTGCTTTATATAGCCATTTTGCCAAGAACATAAAAAGCATTGAGTAGGGACAAAATGGGGATTACATCCATAGGAGATCAATGGAAAAGAAAGAAAGAAAAAAAAAAAAGTAGCTCCTCTTTCAAGAGGCATCAACTCACCAACACTACTGCCAAGAGAACAATCAACAGTAAATTAATACTTCATTATATCTTATTATAGTAATTCTAGAAAAAACTAATTATTTTTACTGACATGGTCATATGCTTCTTAAAATTAGTAAACTAGTGAGACCAGAGACATTAGATGGAGGCAAATAACAGTTATTTTTACTTATGCAAAAACATAGAAACACATACTCATGGTCTACAATTTTTTCCAATATATAAGAAGGAAATTTTAGTAGATCAGTCTTTGGAGCATTATTTAAAACAAGATTAAACATCTAATAATAATAAATTTTTATTAAAACATTATTATATTTTTAATATAATATTACTACATTTAAATACTTAAACTCAATTGAAGATAACAAAATACACACACACACGTATATATATATATATATATATATATATATATATATATATAAAAGCTATTTTTACGTATTGAACCCTGATTGTTTTACATTTCCTCTTTATATATCTACTTTTATACCCATTAATAAAGATTTTTCTTTACTCTCCTTTCTAAGTCTAATGATTTGACATTTATGGTTATATATTTCTGTTTCATAAAGTTATATAATTATAAATTTATAATATGTGTGAGAGAGAGAGGTGAGTGTGTGTTGGGGGGCTTTAAAAGTTGCAAATGTATTAGTGAAGGAAGAAGAGTGTAACAAGAATCAAATTAGAATTGACACACACTTTGATTTCAGGATAATGTCTTTCACACTAGACAAGTGTGAGGAGAATATGGTGTTCACTTTTGAGTCTCAGAAGTCAGTGCCAGCACCCTTCTTGACAAAGACATACCAACTTGTTGATGACCCCAGAACTGACCACATTGTGTCTTGGGGTGAAGATGAAACTACATTTGTTGTGTGGAGGCCACCAGAGTTTGCCAGAGATCTTCTTCCCAACTATTTCAAACATAACAACTTCTCAAGCTTTGTTAGGCAACTCAACACCTATGTAAGAATCTTAATTATCTTGTTATATAGTACTTCTTTATTCTCTACTACTCATCTTTGCTTCATTTCACTTTATTGAGTTTAATTAGAAGTTAAACATGTTTCCACGTAAACAAATTTACCTAATACTTCTTAGAAGTTAAAGCTGATGGGATTTTAAAGTTTTTAGCATATAACTAGTGGTCTAATATTCTTTCTTTTTTTCCAGTACTTTTAACCATAAGACGAACTCGGTGTGTGTCTGGTGCTACTGCAACACAGCTTTACAAGCTCTAAACGGGATTTGAAGCATTTTAATACATGTTTAAAAACCAACAGTTATGTAACTTTTGTTTTAGGTTGAGAATTTTATGCTAAGTTTCACTATAAATGTGCTTTCAATACAAAACTTTCCAAACATAATCACTTCACATTAAACTCAACTTAATTTGAACAAAAAAACAGTTCTATAAAATTAAGATAATTCAAAATCAAGTCTGCAAAATCGCACCCAAAGCACACAATGATTAGCTAGCAATGTTATTGGATCATAATGTTCTCTAATATTGCTACTTTAGCTTCATGATTAACTTTGAATAGTAAAATAGCAACATAAGTATTTTTCCCCTTCTCTTGCAGGGTTTCAAGAAGGTAGTTGCCGATAGGTGGGAATTTGCAAATGAGTACTTCAGAAAAGGAGCTAAGAACCTATTATGTGAAATCCACAGGAGAAGAACCTCTCAGCAACATAACCAACTCTACCATGATCAACCACCATCACAGATTCCTCATCAAGATGAAAGTTTCTGTTGGCTTGACACTCCATTACCATCTCCAAAACAAAGCACAGATATTCTTACTGCACTTTCTGAAGACAACCAAAGACTAAGGAGAAAGAACTTTATGCTCTTATCTGAACTCAGTCACATGAAGAGTTTGTACAATGACATTATATATTTCATCCAAAACCATGTAAAACCAGCATCCTTTGAACAAAGAAGCATCTGTGCTATTCCAAAACTGGTGGAATTGGATTCATTGCCTGAATCACAAAATGACATTGGGTTACTCAGAACTGTCAAAAGTAGTATTATTGATAAGTCTTTGATAACTTCTGAGGAATCAAACAATTTTGTGAAGCTTTTTGGGGTCCCTCTAAGTGGCAAAAAGAGGTTGCACCCAGATAGCATTAATTGATGAATGAACAACATTACATTGAAAAGGTGTGTCCAATGATGGTTAGCTTGCATTGGGTGGCCCTGAATGTTTTGATTGAGATTGTAGAATTTCTGTAGTCATGTATAGAACTGGCTCATGTTCACAATGTTAGATTTCGGTACTCCCTTGAGAATTTTCCATTGATTGATATCTAAATGAAAGAAAGCATGTTTTTTAATTTTATCGACCCCTTATTGTTAAGTTGGAATCGCACATTATATTAGTTTGTAAATCTTAATAGTTTTACATTTTTGTCTTTTCTTTAATTGTATGTCTCTCTTTCTTTCTAATATACTGTTTTCTAATTATTGACAATGAATTCTAAAATAAGTCATGGAAAGCATGTCTCGTAGGTTATGGCTTTTAGTTTATATATATATAAAGAGACACTTTAGGTGTTCCCTCAGTGATTAACAAAACATTTTCGCTTCATTATTGAACACACCCTTTCATCAAAAACAGGAAACAAATTCCAAAGCAATTTTGGTTGCACCTGCTTACTTAAAAAGTGGTCAACAATCCTTTTTAGTTTGTACAGCATGCATATAATCATAAAACCTCCACTTCAGAGCTTCTCAAAATCTTGGTCTCAGAAAAACTCCCAAGATCCTGTATTTTCTGATATGTAACTATGAAACTCAAATTTTAATGGATTTTTATTTTTTTATTACCATTTAAAATAATAAATAAATAAATAAGATAATTAATATATTAAATAAAGAGTATAATAATAACACTTCATGTAATAACTTTTTAGAAAATCTTAAATACTTTTTTTTTTTAATTTCTCTAGAACATATAAAAGAAAAAAGACTAGAGGTAGTAATAGTTATCATTTATCAATTCAATTAAAATGCATTTAATTCCCCGCCATAACCATCATGTAAGTAAACAAATCATGCAAAGATAAAATGAGAGAATTAAGAGATGAGTGGAATAGGCATAGTAAACACAATATGAGTCATATTAAAGGTGCAGGATGTGATTGAGCAATCATTTCATGCATTTTGTTTGACGAATCCATTATAGATATGGAATCTTATGCATATATTTTACTTTCGGTTTTCTCTAAAAAGAATAAGAAAAGAAAACCATTAAAAAGAAGGCCTAAAAAGGGGAGAGGGATAAAGAATGTTTTTACAAAAGAAAAGTTATCGGGATTGTAAAATCAACATGTCATGCATTTCTCTTTCATATAGCTTTTTCTTTCTCTTTAATATGGTATGTATTATTTAAATATTAAATAATTTATATCATATTTAGTAATGATATAATCATTTTAAATTTGTCTTTAATTCATATCCTTAAAAAATAATAAAATAAAACTTGTCTCATTTTAATTATAAAAAAAAAAAATTAACATATTACTGTTATTCGATATTCCAGCAGACAAGTTGTGAAAGCAACACAAAGTACGAAAAGATCAAATCCAAAATGGAATCCCATATATTAAACTGAACAAATATGTTATATACATTATTTTCTGTACCAAGAACATAGTGAAAGATGAATCTAACAAGATACATGTAAAAAAGTAATGTTAATTATTGCTGAAAGTCTAACATTTTCATACTTACATTATTTTATATTTATTTTTCATCTTACTTTGTTTTCCCTCTCCCATAATCTCTCCATATATTGATATAAAAATCTTGAAAGTGAACAATCTATAAATATCTTTATAAACATTTTTTAAGCGTTAAAGTATGTTCTTATCCTACTGATCTATTGAAACTCCAGTTATTTAAACTTTTTCTATGGCTAAAAGAAGATAAGCAATATTTTCACTTTGTTGCATCAACAGTAGAAAGATTTCAAATAATTTATTTCAACTATGCAACTTTTTTATATGTTTTATTGTTGTAGTTTGAATCTGTCATCTTAGAAACACCCCAACGAATGTGTTGTAATCTTCAGCACTGTGACAGAACCACACAGACCATATAATTACCTCCTTCATCTTTATAAAATCACTTTTCTCTTTGGTTCATTTTCGATGGTACAAATTTACGTACACAAATAAAAATTAGACGCAACCACAAATCTTAAAACAACTTCAAAGTTGCTAGACCCATTTTGCAGTAACAATACACACAGATTCAAGATTGTAAGATTAAGTTAATGATTTATATATTAAAAAGTTTTATTAATTAAGGTTTATAGTTCCCTTAGATATCTTTTAGTTTATTTTTAACTTTGTTATCTAACACACACTCCATAACAATGATTCCACAAGGATATATTTATACTATTTTTTTCTCCAATGATGATAGCATACAATAAGATTCTAGGACAATCATTTTTCAAACCAAAATACGAACACATTAAAGGCCTTAATTGGCGATAACTTTGAAGGCATTGGATGCGCACTTCAAGCGTTTGTGGCTCTCTCACTAAAATTGCATTGATCAAATGGTGCTCCTAGAAAGAGGCTTTGTTTGGAGATATCTTTGCAATTTCTCAATTTGGTGGAGTAAATAGTAAAAATGGTATTATAATTAAGTTTAATCTTAAATTTTACATGTCATTATCAGTGTACATAACTTTTTCTTACGTATAGAAATTGCAACCCTGCTTTGAGCTTGTTTTTAAAGTGTATAATTGTTTTTTAATCTCATTTTGAGCAGGTTTAATTTTTTATAAGTTCATGATTGTTGGAATTATTCAATTAAATAAAACTTTTTGTGGGAAAAATCACAATTGGACCAAAATCAAAAGGAAATTGAAGTGAATTGATGTATAAACTAACTCTAGCCTGTTTGACCAAGGCTTTTTAGTTCTTCTCAACTTTTATAAAATGGGGCTTGTACTCTAATATGGACTTCTTAATTTTAACCCATATAAATTGGTGTTAAATAGTTTGAAGTTATTTTATGTGCACTTTTTAGGATTCCTTAATTTTCTCTCTCTCTCTCTCTCTCTTCAAGTATGGTCATCCTTTTCAATTAGTAGTAGTACTTGAGGGAGCTTTTACAAAATGGGGACTTCCTTTTTTATAGAAGCTTTCTCTTTTCATTTTTTTGAGAGTCCTTTACTTATATTTGGTGGGGTTTTTTTTTCCTCTTTATTGAAAGTTTTTTGTTTCTGCATTTTGTTTATATTGCTACCTTCATTTTCTTTTTATTCGCCTTCGTATCCTCTCAAATCATTTACTTCTCAGAAATTGACGTTATATATAAAAATTGACGTTAACACCATTCTTTTATTTTATTTTTGTCAACAATAATAATACGAGTTTTTTTTTTTCTATCAGAATTGTCTTTTTTTTTCATAGATTCATTGATGAAAAGTCTAAATTTATAATAAAAAAATAAATAATGTTAAATAATAAAAACCACATATAAATTGAAAAGAATCAAGTATGTATTCTTAAAAAAAAAAAAACAATCTTGTGAACTTCAAACACAATAAAATGAAAAACAAATCACTCTTCCCTAACAAAGAACCCAATTGCTAAAAGGCTTTTCCTTTTTCTTTTCTTCTACGTTAGCAAAAATCTATTAGCAAGCTAGTTCAACAAGCATTGAAATAACATTAATCTTCAACATTTTATTAATGCTTGAATAATTTGAGATGATGACGATGGATTGATGCTATAGTGTGGTAGAGTTCCAACCTACATATGACAGCATTAACATTATTTATTTTTTTAATTATAAATTTAGACTTTTCATCAATGAATCTATGAAAAAAAAAAAAAGACAATTCTAATAGAAAAAAAAAACTCGTATTATTATTGTTGACAAAAATAAAATAAAAGAATGGTGTTAACGTCAATTTATATATATATAGTTGAGTTTAAGGTAAACTTTTAGTGAAAAGAATATAAATTTTATATTAAAATTATAGAAGTGCGATAGGTACTTCTTTTTATTATAAAAATTTATTAATTTTGAGTGTTAAAATTTGAACCTAAAAGTTGATATTAATATTTTTAAAAACAAAGTCACCTTGTTATATATTTTTAAATAAGTTGTAAGTTGGGTCAAACTTAAAATCAATAGATTCATTAAATATAGTTTTATTTTTATTTTTATGAGATTTGAAGCCATCTTCGTTGTTTTTATTTGAACCTAAGAGTTGTAGCTGTAGAGGCTAAGAAACAAATGTGGTTAAACTTTCCGAAGTACACAAGAAAAATAGAGTATTGAGTTATTAGCATTGGGAAAAGTCTCTATGATCGAAACATAGAATTAGAGATGAGAAACCAACATAATGAAAATCAAAAGATCAAAGCGAAAAAGTGAGGATTGAAGGTCAGAGATTGAATATTCAAGTAAAATTAAACACATATACAGATAGATATGGGATTCACTGACACAAAGGGCTACTTCAATACCAATTAATTCATAGTTTCATACCAACAACAGGTCTTTTCGTTTAATATTTAAAAAACAAGTAATTTTAAAATTATATAAAATTTCATTCACATTCAAAAAGAAAAAAAAAAATTGAAATGAGACTTTTTCATTTCTTGTCAACAAGTGAAACAAAAATATTCTACCAAAGAAGCCAAGTATTGGGCTTAAGCAATTAGGGAAAATTTTTCTGGATCAATTACTCCGTCCGTTGGGGTCTTCTATATTTGGGCTTGGGCCCAGTGCTTCTTTTGTTACTTTTCCATTATAAAAAACCTATTTCATGAAAATTGTTTAAACTGGTTACAGTACAAATATGTTACGATGAAATTTTATGATTAAAAAAAATACTTAATTATATATTTTTTTGTTCTTATAAGTGTTGACCGTGCAGTTGACTCTTTTCTGTTAGGTGTTGAATTGTTTAAAGTTTTCACGTAATATTATATTATTTGTTTGTTTTATTTTTTATTATTTAAAATTAATATTTATAAATAAATTTTTAAATATATTTTACATAATTATATAATTTATTTTTAAGATTTTATTGTATTTTCTCTTTTCAATCATAACTATTTTTTTAAAACTTGAAAAATTCATCAAATCACAGGCAGTATTAGC